AAAGTAGCGAAAAAACCGTAGATTGCTCTTTTTACCGTCGCTACAATGCAACCGACCTGCCATCTGTCAATTTTTTTGCCTGGAGTGGTTTGTGGGGTGGGCATCATGATGGTTAAAATTTTTTTGCCTGGAGTGGTTTGTGGGGTGGGCATCATGATGGTTAAAAACTGACAGGCATCCCACGTCACGTTGGAAATTATTATTGTCCATGGTTAAAAATTCCCAGCTAGGTCTTCCATGTCATCATCATCACCCATCTCAACATCCCTACGCTTCATTTTTTCCAATATGAGTATGCGTTTACAGGGTAGTAGGGTACCCATTGTTTTCCTCAGCAGATCAAGGGTGCTTTTTTTTTTTTTTTGGAGTATAATGGGTCCTTGGTTGATCCAGGATCTTAACCCTGGTTTAACTTAGATATTGTAACCCACCCATGGTTCTCCGATCTACTGCTTCTGACTAGAATTGAACCAACAGACTTCTTTGGTAAGAAGAAAAAAAAAAAAAAAAAAAAAAAAAAAAAAAAGAGTTTGTCGAAACCCCTTTGTCCCACCTCAATCCATTCTATTCGATTTAATTTACAAACACACTCTCTCTCTCCCAAATTTGATCCACCCCCTACAATTTGTCTCTCTCTCTCTCTCTCTCTCTCTCTCTCTCTCTCTCTCTCTCTCTCTCTCTCTCTCTCTCTCTCTCTCTGTATATATATATATTTGACGATATATATATATATATTTTGTGACGATATATATCGTCACAAACAGAGAAAAACATATATATATATATTTGTGACGATATATATATATCGTCAAATATATATATATATTTGTGAGGATATATATATATATATATATATATTCTGTTTGTGACGATTGACGATATATAGTTTGTCACAGCCCCTCGTTTGTTGTCCTCTTCTCTCTCTCTGCCTACGGTTTACCGGGCAGTTCTGTTTGTGACGATATATATATATATGTCGTTTCGGTGTGTTTCATTCCAGGTTGACCCGATTATTCGTGGACTGGGATTCAAGTACCACACGTTCATTCTTGCCAACTTTTACTTCAGCAATTTCAAGTACTTTGGGCTTACAAAGGAGAACGCAGACGGTTCGGTGGAGTTTAAGTTTCCTCACTATGACGACGAGACAGTTCATACTGGCTATGATGTGGGCGAGACGGGGCTTCCCATTCCCAATATTCTGGCCCATCCACAAGAGTACCACGACAGGTACATTGTATACGACGGCTTCACGGCACCAATGAAGGACTGGATCAAAATTTTTACAGAGGTGACTGGTAAGCAGGCAAAGCTAGGCGAAGTTGGTGCAAGTGAATTTATGGAGGAACTTGTAAAGGTAATTTTACAATTCTCTCTTCAAGTGCTTTTTTTTTTTTTTTTTTTTTTTTTTTTTTTTTTCGAGAGTGCTTTTTGCTCCTTCTTTACGATCATCTTGCCAGAGCCCTGACTCGTGCGCATCCTCCTCCTCTCCTGGAGGCTGGTTCCACTACAGTCTTCCCCCGAGTACAACGTACGGTCATTACAGCTGAATTTGGTGTATCTTTCAGTCTAAATTCAGCTATAATGACCGTACGTTGTATTCGGGGGAAGACTGTAGCCACGTATTTGACCTAGTGGATACGGTGTGTGACTGCGAAGAACCGTGGATTCGGCGGGTCATCGGCAGCAAAACGAGGCATATTTGAGCCGTCCCATTGTTTTTTTTTTTTTTTTTTTTTTTTTTTTTTTTTTCCCCCTGAACGTGTGTGATTTCACTACCAAGTTTTTTCATGACTGGTTTCATGCACGTTTTTAATGAGTGTTGAAGACAAGGATGACTGGCTTCATCTCTGGAAAATGATTGTGGTTTGGGAGGTGTTTGGGAGGGTTCGATCCCCTCACCTAGTACACGAAATGGGCGATGGAGTTGCTCCTTCCCTCCTTTCCCAAAAAAGAATTTCTACACAAATAGAATGGAGCCTTGTCCTTTCAAAATTGGGACATCTGTTAAAATTGGAAGGATACAGAGAAGATTAGAATGGCCCCTGCGCAAGGATGACACGCATAAATCGAGAAATGGTCCAATTTTTTTTGTTAAAAAAAAAAATAAAAAATTATACACAAATAGAATGGAGCCTTGTTGTTGTTGAGGGGGAAAAAAAAAAATAAAAAAAAAAAAATCTGTTTTTTCTAATAGAAAAAAAAGAGAACTTATGTCATAGCAAAGGAGAAGTGTACACTGCGGCACATTCCGAGCAAACCTCAGACTGTTGTCAACGAATATGGTCCGTGAGACCGTCCACATGCAGTCTTCTTGACTGCCACAGCCATGGGCAGTGAGTCATACCCACCTGCCATCTGACACCCCGCCTGGATCAGACACCATCGGCGGGAAGAGCACTTTCTTTTCTTTTTTAGCATTTTTCTCGTCATTTTTTGGGGTCAGGAAATGTTTTCTTGTATTTACTTACCCTATTTCACGCTGCCACCCACCTGCCCCTCAGCCGTCCTGCGCCCGTGACACGAATCTAAAATTTCTAAATACATGGCTACGGGTAGTGGGACCTTTCCTGGGGCAAGGTCCCACTTGCACGGATTAAGAGATTCTGGCCGTTGATCTTTGCTATCTACGGTCAATATCGCCTAATAATTCGTGTAAGTGGGACCTAGCCCCAGTTACCTATCTCATACATGAGCCCACCCTTTGTTTGTGTTTCGGGCCGGGGGGAGGGGGAGATCCCACCATTATTTAATGGAACATCGATCAACGGCTCTGATTTCTGGATGGGTCCCACCATAAGCGGGTCCCTTAAAAAAAGGGGCTCTAGTTTCTGGATGGGTCCCAGTGTCCCACCACCAGAGCAGCCTCCATAAGGGAGTCCCTTAGTGGTTTTTGGATTTGTCCCATCTGATTGGCAAGGAGTTGAGTCAGTTGACCCATCCTTCCTTGTGTACAAATTGGACGCTTTTGGACACAAGAAGGGGTCTGGTTTCTGGGTCAGCTCCCAACCAATTACCTGATTAGGTAGGGAGCCCCTCCAAAAGCGGCCCATTTGTACACAAGAAGGGGTCTCTCCAAAAGCCTCCCATTTGTACACAAGAAGGGGTCTGGACAGGCTTTTTTCTTTGTGGGATATGCAAAATACCCCCATAAGTTGAGATATATGCCAAAATGCCCCTGAAAGACGTGCCAAGGGAGAGCCGAATCCCCTTTTCGGACGGATTCTTTGTGTTATGCGTCCGTCAGGCCGGTTTGCAATATGGACCTCGCCGCTTGGGCCCCGACACCCCGCCACCTTCGCCATGGCCGACAGCCATGGGGGAGAGGGGAAAGCTATGGGTTTCGATCCTTGCTCTGTGCGCTGACTAAAGGAGAGAAGGTGTGGGGGGAAGAGGTGTCGGAGGGGGAGATGGGGGGGGAGGGGGGGTTAAGGGGGGGGAGAGTACAGGGAAAGCTATGAATATTTCACCTCATGTTATGTGAATCAACAATGTTCTGCATGTGTTTGGTTTCCTCTATTAGCTGCCGAGGGCTACCACTACCAACTGCATATATACAGTGCAGGGTCTGCACTGTATATGTCAGGGCTTTGTGGCTTTGTTCTCTTCATGTATGTTTCCATAGATATAGACTAAGTGCAGATTCTGTAAGCTCATGTGTTTGTTCTCCTAGTGTTCACTGGATGGTTTACGGTTGACGTCCGTCTGTTTTGGAACATACTGCATGATCCTGATGATGAATGTATACAAGGCTATTACAAGCTATCTTGCAGGTCCAGTACAACGACAATGAGCGTGTGTTGTCTTCGGGGGAAGATGGTGCTAGCCTTAGAACGGTGGTTGCTTGCCACAGTGCTAGTACTCAGATTCTGACACTTTGCCTTTTTTCTGGTCTTGTCACTTGCGGCTATTGACTTGGAATTTCTCTGCAGATGTTCGGCTGGTTCAAAGAGTACGGTTATTATGGGAATACAGACAAAACTGCAGGTGCAAAGGCTCTGCCCAGACCGCTGACATCATGGAAGGAACATCTGCAACACAACTGGCACTGATCTCCCTTCTCCCTCCCTCCCTCCATTCACTCTGGCACTTTGCTTGACACCACAGAATCGATGCACATCTTAAACGCCTTCTCGACTGTGTGTGTGTGTGTGTGTGTGTGTGTGTGTGTGTGTGTGTGTGTGTGTGTGTGTGTGTGTGTGTGTGTGTG